AACTAGATCTATGAGGATCACTACATGAGCTTCTCCTCACTCCTTCTTAGGCCTGGAAGGGGCCCCCACTTAACAGCCTTCCTTCATCATCCTCCCTGGCAGACCTGCGGTGTGTGCCAACAGCCCAGAGCCCTATGTGAGCACAGCAGAAATCCATTGGAAGACACTTTAAGAGACTGGATCAAGTCTTAGGTCTCAGACTGAGCTGAAGAGGATGCTGTGGAAAAGGTGAAGCTCTCTCCCAGAGAAGCGGAGGTTTCTGGAGATCCACCCTAATATTTCTTGTTGTGGTAATTCCAGACTGAGAATAGTATCTAGAAGAGGGGCTTTCTCATGGCAAATCTAAAAGGCATTGAGGTTTCTACAACTAAGGGTAAAAAGGGGAGAGAAGCAAGCTGTACGGAGCAAAGCAAGCAGACATTCCTCTGCTGCCGTAGACACATGACTCAGGTTATAAAGAAGCTGTGCTGTTTCACGAAGCAGTAATGCAAGACTTGCCTCAGCTGGCTTATGTTGGCCCTAGGAAAGACAAGAAGGGCTAAATGATGCACTGCACTAACATAACACTCATGTTTTATTAAGATATTGTTTTTATTACCAGGTTTGCCATTGATCTGCAGCATGACCTTGGACTGCTCCACCTCTCTGTGCCTCTGGCTGCCATCTGGCTAATTAGACTAAACTATCTGATGAGAGCCAGGTCTAACCATGGATTGGTTCAGCAGGTAGCACACCTGGTCACTGATACTGCCAGAAGCCATTAGGTGCTACTGAAATAGAGAGCAACCCCAGGCAGTTGCACACAAAGGAACCAAGTTCACATGGAAGCAAAGAGGCCGCAGGGTCCCAGCTCCCAACACCAGCCTGACTCGCTCAGTTGCATCTCATGGACTTCTGGATTTACCAGGGCATTGCTTTTGGGCAGCCCAAGGGCCCATCTCCAAGACGGATGCAAGCCTTTGTATTTAACAGCATGTTCAATAGGCTGTTCTATACAGCACTTAAGAGTGAGTAATTAAAGGAAATATTACTGCAGTGCAGCTTCTCATTAGCAACCTAATTAGCCTTCTGAAAATAATTAACATTCTTTTCCATAAGGAGAACAGATGACCCCCTACATCCATCAGACAAGCAAAATGAATAGCCAGGGTAAGGTTTTGTTAGGGAGACAGCCCGAGAAGCATCCAGCAGCAGTACCAGTAAAAGGGAAGCAGGAAAGAGGAAAAAAGAGGGAATAAAAAGTGGGTGGTGGGTAAGAGGGGAGGTCTTTGGTCTTCACTGCAAATGGTTTAACACATACACTGACATTTGCATCTGACATTTGCATTTGTGCAGGCTCTCGTCCTCCACTTCCACGATCCACTGACAACCTACCAGCTGCAATGACAAGAAGTGCTGCATACAGGCCTCTTGTAAAAGCCAGACTTAAATCTTTCCAAATTCAGCAGTTTGCTATCACAACTAGGTCTCTCTATATACAAAAAGAAAAAGAAAATCCAAAGTTAGATGTTTCAACTATTAAAACCCTTCAGAAATTCCATTATTATAAGCCATGATTTAATGGCAGACACAGCCCTTCTTTGTGGCCTACAGAAATCATGGAGGTGATGGTTATGAGCAGCGTGAAGAACTCTGTCTGGATTTCACAGGGTGGTGCTCTGGTTGGTTAGCGTGGCCTGAAAGAGTTTCCTCCCCGACACTGCTTTCAAATATGCAAGTGCAAGTGATTGCAAGTGCAGAGCAAGGCCCTTCTCTGCTCGTGCTTCACATCCCAGGCATCAGAGAGGTGGGATGCACACGAGCATAGGGAAGAGAAGCAGGTCAGCATTATCACCCACTGGTAGCAAGAACCACAGTATATCAGCAGATGAAGAAGAAATAAGCTAGGAGGGCCCCAAGCTACCCAACACGGCGCGTTCAGGCAGTGCAACAGGCACAAGGGTGCAGCCGCTGCTGCGGGTGATGCCCAGGCGCGTTCCTCGCCGTGAGCGTTGCACACTTATGGCCACCAAGTGCAGCGCGGCAAAGCCCGGAGTGCAGCAGCTGCCACATTCCCATCACTATGGAAACCACAAATCCACAGCCTCTCCCTTTTCCCATCCACTTATTTCACTGGTTAGTAACACATTCCTCTAATCCACCCTCTTAGCACTCTTCCTGGACTACAGGAGCCCCCACAAACACGTTTTACCTGGTTCAGGACCAAGCGTTTCCTCCTCCAGGGCCCTCTTTGTGCAGCCTGCCCTAACCCTTCCAACAGCAGGGCAGCCTTCTGGGAGGTTTCCACTGCAGCTCTGGGACTGCCCCAACCCTCACAGGTTGGCACGTGAGGGATTTCAGCTTTGTCAGCCACCCAAGGTCTCCCTCAGCTTCTGCACTAAGACAGTTCCTCCTGCAAAGAAGGCTCACTCTAGAGCAATCCAGCCAGTTCCCTTAAATCGGAAGCTAAAAAGCTGTTGACCAAAAGATCAGGATCATCTCCTTATCCCAAAATGCCTTTTTTTTTTTTCGGAAATATTTTTGAAACAGGAGAAATGGGAGGCACAGGACATCACGCAAGACAGCTGTAAACGCAAAGGTTAAACTTGCACTTTAAGAAGCCTGCCAGTTCTGCCGCAGCTGCTAATTACAGGTGGCTCTTCCCACACTAGAAATCTGAACGTCTCTCAGCAAAAGCCTAGCAGTCAAAAGTAACTCTGAAAGGTGCAGAAGGAAGATGGGGAAAATGCTCAAAATCTGCAATATGGCATAGATGCTGCAACCTGCCTGTGTGAACTGACTGAAGGAGTTTTCATACAGACCTGCAGGAGGGAAAGAGCAAAACAGGAATAAAAAATACCCTGCTGTTCGATGTGTGTTTTTGCTGCATGACTCTTCAGGGTCCTCTCCCACACCGGCCTCCCAGGGCACCTCTCACCTCAGAGCACTTTTTGGGAGAAGCACAGGAGTGTTCAGGCTCTGCAGCCCCTGAAGTCCTCAGCGCCTCTCAACCTTAGCTGCCAACAAGGCTGCCAACCATTATATGGACAAATGCCCACTAGTAAATAGGTTGTAAAAATCTATGTATTTCATCAAGGTTGCCAAACAGCCACTTAAAACCTTCCCCCTCGCTGTCCCCTTCATTAAATTACTCTGCATGGAGAGAAAAATCCTACCTGGACTTCTTGATCTGCTGGGAGCAGACTGGCACCACATGAAGTCTCTTATGAAAGCAAGTCACTATTACACAGAAGAGGCAGCCCCTTCTTTGCAACAAGGACCACAGCATTCAGCTCTTCCAGGCTCAGTCCTAGCTCCCTTACCCTACTCCACAGCTGATTCCAGGCTGGCATTATAGGACATCTCCCAGTTTTACTGTTACAATAGTTCCTACCAACAGCCCACAGGATGATGTTACTTCTGTGACCTAAAGGATGTCACAGGAACAGAGCTTCCTGCAGGACAGATGGAGCAGAGAGGTGACCACAGTCCACAGGGTTGCTCCCCACGGCTCTAGGAGCAGATCTGTCTGCACCTCCGGCCACAGCATCCCAGCAGCCTAAGAGGACGGAGCACAGAGGCGGCATCGGAGGAATTAATTATTTATATGTTGCTCTGCTGCCAGCGGATTGGTGTTTTCCAGCGCCAGTACAGCCCTCGGTTTTTGTTTTAAGGGTAACAGGAGCCGCGCGCTCCCCTCGGCGGTTCCCGAGGGCCCGCGCCAGGCAGCGGTCGCTGCCCTCGCAGGGCGCCTGCGGCACCGACACAACAGCCGGGCGCGCTGCAGGGCCCAGCTCTGGGGCTCCGCTGCCCGCACCGGCTCTGCTGCTCCGCCCGGGACACTGGCGGCCCAGCCAAGGCGCTGCTTTGGGCTGCACAACACGCAGAGCACGGGCAGCAGCCGACCCTGCTCGCCCACACCACTAGCAGCGGCCAACGCTGCCGCTCTCCTTCCCGCCTGTGCCTGGTCTCCAGTCCTGGAGGGAATAGCTGGATGCTGGGGCTGGACTGGCTGCTGCCCCATGGAAAGCCCTGGGGTCTGTCTGTCCAAGTGGGGTTTTAGGCACTACCACAAAGAGCAGGTACTGAGACTCACCTACAACAGAGCACAAGCTGAGGGATGAAAGGTGTTGCACAATTTTTATATTCATAGCACCTATATACTGAAAAGGGGTCCCCACTTACTAAGAGATTAAAGTGTCGTGTGCAATCTACTCATGAAGCCTCATCTACAATAGCAAAAGCAGCTCTGTAGCTTGACCTCCTGCAAGGCCATGCCAGCCCCTGCGCTCAGCCTCCTGCCAGGGCACCCCACCAGGCAGCGCAGACCCACAGAGCACCCTGAACACGCTGCAGGGGCTGAGGATCGCACTGCTGAGCCCACCCGGCCAGGCCTTCTGCCAGCATCACATACAAAGCTCCACACCAGCACAGAAGTGATAGCATTTTGTATCCACCCTGTGCAAGGGTGGATAAGACTGCAATGGAGACAGGACGCTGGTGAGATGAGCCAAAAGAGATGAGTAACACACTAGTGAAGCACGTAGAGAGACCGAGCGGCTCGGCAGGGCCAGGAATAGGTCCCGTATCATCTGACTCACACCTGTGTCACACCGGCAGAGCCAGCCGCTCGTTACCTACTGCTCTCATTCGGTTTAGAGGCACTGCTCCACTGTCCTGGTTGTTTTAATTGCCTGAGGGTATTTGGGTATGAGGTTTTAAAGAACAAATAACGCTTGGACAAGTTTGGCAATCAAAATGCCAAGTGATCAGAACATTATGACACAAAAGCAGAGAGATCAAGAGCAATGTGTGTAGATACGACCTTATTTACACTCCTAGACAGCAACAGCAGATTTGACTGCTGCAAATAACTCCACCTCTTGACCAGCCCTTATCTGCCCTACACATCTAAATTTCAAAGGTCCCGTTTACAACACACGTAGCTGTGCACCCAGGGAAGTGCTTTAGATTTCTGGTCTGTGCCTACACTCCTGCTGGCTTTAGCCACCTGCCCTTACCTTTTCTGGGGAGGAATCCTGGAGTTCTCCCACTCTTCGGTCGGCTCCCAGCTTACAGCATCCGTGGCTCGAGCACGTTGACTCCGGCAGGTCCAAGCTGTTTCAGACACTTGCTGTTTTCGGGCCAGATGCACTTGACCAGCAGCTAACACGCCGAGCAGACAGCCTTCCTAGAGCAAAGCAGTACAGTTTAACCTTAGAGCACAGCACAGGAGCCTTTAAGCAATTAAAGAGATGTGTATGGATAGCTTAGCTCCAGTTTACCAGGCTGTGGAAGGCCTGACTTGTTCAGGATCCCAGGCAGGTGCCTCTATCTGCCCCTCATCCCAGGGCAGCTTCTGGCAGCTGCCTCTCCTCTGGTTGGAGTCCTTCTGTTCCTCACTGTCCTTTCGATCTCTTGGATCCCAGCCACGGCAAACACATTGAGCAACCTCCCTGGAGCCAATGGCTAAAGGTTCTTCACTGCTACCGTCTCAGCTGACGTCTCTCTTAACCCTTGATGGGGCTACCAGAGGGTGCCTCATCTTCAGTTTTCCTGACCATTTCCCAGTTTTGAAGTAAGCCTTATGACTGTCTCTTTTTCATCCTAATCCTCCCACTCCTAACGCTACCTCCCTACGTTTTCCACCTTCTCCTGCCCACTTCCCCAGCCATCCCACCTTTCCTGGCCCCCTTCCTCAACGAAGGGCACAACGCGGCCTCCCTGGACCTCCCCGCTTTGCTGCTGCCTCCTCTCCCAGCTCGTGGGCTTCCTTCCACCCCGTGCCCCAGTCCCGGAGCCCAGGCTGCTCTTCTCCTTCCCTCCAAGGGCCGGCCCCAAGCGCCCCGACTGTCACGGGAGTCACGCAGGCTCCGACGCACAACACAGAGTCTGTTTCTATTTAGGTAGCACCAAACTACAAAAACATTCCAATTAAAAATGCAGATTAAATAACTAATCCTCCCGCTACAAAACCCTCCTACCAAGATTAACACAGTGATGAATAAGCATAAAACCATTAATTAAAATCAATGTAACACGGGTATTATAAAGACAGATTTAGCACCTTCTGCATACGCACTAATGCCTGCACCTACTTTGTAGTCCATCTTCCCATGAGAAATAATTGCTATTTTAACATTTTTATATCAGACTGGGAAAGAGCTTTTTTGTTATAACTGAGCTAGCTCAGTTTGCATCATTCTGATCTGATGTTCTTAATTACTTGCGCATACGTTATTTTCACTATATACATTTTCTCACAGCTCAATATAGGTTCCTACCGAACTATTTAACTCTATCAAATAAATGCAAATAAAAACTTAAAAAGCATTTTCTCCAAGTGGGGAAAATTTCCCAATACTGAGAACTCTCTTCCCATAGTCAGACCTGCTTGCCATGAGCTGATTTATGAAAGATGCCGATGTGGTCCCCCTTGCTGCCCAGTTTAAGCCCTTCCCTTCCCGGTGCGAAGGTGACGCACGCGGCCTCGCGGTGACCGGGGCAGGGAACCCGTCATTCATTTCAACACTACCCCTAAAGCCCGAGCAACCCCATCTGTCCCTACACTGGGCATACACAGAGGCTACCGCAAGGCTGTACTGGTACCCAGCAGGAAAAGGTTCCTTTTTTGCAAAAATCTTCATTTCTAAGAGCTCAAAGAGGTAGTGAAACTATGGCTTTAGTTATATACCTATAACAAGAAATAAGCAGGTGAGAAAGTCTTTATTTCCCAAGACTATATTGTATCACATGAGCAAAGTGCTGAGCATACATGGCCAATCTGTGCGTGTTCATACAATACAACATTTAGGCTGCTCAGGTTAGGGATTTTTTCTTTGCCTTTAGCATGTTGATGAACTCCTGTCCTCAAGTACTAAGAATTAAAACGCTAAAATGTTTGTAGTGGGGCTGAAAGCAGCGGCGAGGCCATTCAGCTGCATGGACAGAGCTGAACTCCACTACAGCGGCCAGATGCTGGCGTCTCTGTCATAGGGTTGTCTGCAAAACAGCGACCCCGGTGCTTATCCAGGTACTGTCGGTTCCCCTCCAAAGGCACCAGCATTCCCGGTGTCAGCACCCTGGGGACTGCACATCTCAAAATAAGGGCTGCAGAGCAACAGCTTTCAGATACCCAAAGACATGACGCCTGGGCACATCCTTCCCCAAGTGTCTCTAGGTCAGTCCACAAGCTCCGTTGGAAGCTTCTGCCAAAGCTTCCAGAATCGTATTCTCCGACCTCCGGAGTTTCGGGTTTCTTTTAAAAGCCTCGCTGCCACCCAAAAGCTGAAGCATCTTGAGCAGATGCCTGCACCCCCACGGGACTATGCGGTCTGCAAATGATCTGCAATCATTTACTGTCAAAAGGAGAAATATGGTTAGACTAATTGCCAAAAGCCTTCGTTTTCTTTGCTGTTATTCTGCAGTCTGTCTTTAAAAAAAAAAAAAGAAAAAATAAAGAAAGAAAAGAAAGAAAAAAAATGGTTTCAAACACACACAAATAAACTCCCGCATGCTTCTAGGGCTGTCTTACACCATTAGATTCTCACTTGCTTTTTCTCTGTACTCACTCTTCACTGCTTATGTTTTTTTTTTATTCTTTTCCTGGCAAGACAATGAAAACAGAACAGCTGTTTTTACATTCAGCATCTCACATATTTCCATGGCTCCCCAAATTTCCAGGTCAACTGGCCACTGTGAATGCTGCAGACTTGTCCCAGGCTGCCATACATCTCTGCTACCTGCCTTTGCCATAAACATCTCGCTCATCTTCCTACATTCCAGGTTCCCAAGGGTAAGCTGTGGGCTACTTTCTGTAGCCTGGCGAGCCAAAGCACAAGCACCACATGGGCACGGCAGTGCTTGTGGGCCAGAAAGGTTATTTACTTCTACCCCAAACACTTCACTGCTTTGAAGTCCTCATTTTTCTGTTGATTGCGGTTTCTGGGAACACTTCTTCCCGAAACTGGGGTCAGGCCCAGTTTTGCAATACGCCAGCGAAGCGGCAGGCGGGTTCAAAAGGAGCGAGCGCCGCTCCGCTCCACCTACACGCGCTCCCTCGAGGAGCGCCGCGCACGCGGGAAACCACGGGCAAACTCGCCGCTTTGGGGCACTTCAAGGCAGGGTGCTGTCGCCTAGCAACTTATCTGATTACCATTTTTTTTCCAAGTATCACATGCACACTTCGTTATGTTGCATAATAACACCTCGCTTCTACGTGTCCTGACCCAATTGAAAAAACAAAACCTAACACAATTAATGCCTTTCGTCTCTTCCCTTGCAACACGAAGTACGAGACAGCAGCGCAAGAAGAGGCATTAGCATTCCTGAATTTTATTCCCGACTTGGTGAGGAGCTCCTGGCTCACTGAATGTGCTTATACAAGCAATTCATTTTATCTGCTTGTCTGCAGAATGACACCAATAATACCCACCTCCTGGAGACACAATGAGATTTCTCCAAGAACAGGGCGATGCTCAGATGACAGATGCTGGGGAAGCGCTGGTGTTTGCATTTATGACCTGTTAGTACTCCGCACGTTGCCAAGCCCTAGCCTAAAGCGTAGCAAATTCAAACATTGCCAGGACATTGTCCAGCCCTTGTTTTCCAAGCCAAAAATCTCAAACCATGAAAACTACATTTCTCCCATCAGAATGTGACACCTTCTTATCTTCATGGGCCAAGAGCTGCCTGGGGGGAACCCCATAAAAAAAAGCAACTTACCCCAACTTCTGAAGCTCGGGGAGATCCTACCATGAAAATAAGACGGGAATGAGAGCAAGCACATGGGCACATATGACATTTTTAGAAACCAGCATCATTCTACTTATTGATCCAATCTTTGAAAAACTAATCGTACCCCACCTAATCTATGAAAAAATGGCCTTTAGTTGCCTTTTTGGTGAGCAATAATGTTCATTAATACAAATTTCAAACTGAGGCATCATTTCCAAAAGGGTACAACTAGCCAACACAAGGGCATGGATTCTAGAAGCTGGTCTTTTGCATGCCGATATAATGTAATAAGACGGCCTCTTTACAGAGGCACCTCTGACTGAGCTGTGCAGAGCGCAAGGGGCTCGGGTGCCCAGAGCGCTCCTGATACCGGTCTCTGTCAGCTCAAGTGACTGAATGTGCTGTTTCGGAAACACATTATCTCATCTCCAAGATAAAGCATTAAGCGGCAATGGAAAACGCCAAGGACCGGTAGGGAAGTTCTGTATTGCTAAGGATTGTTGGATTACCTTGGCAGCTCCTCTCTTTGTGGTAGATATGACATCTTACAAACAGTGCCCTATGTCCTGCAGCTCAGGTGCAAGCGCACTTCCACTTAAAGGTGTAACTGGAAAGAACTGCCGGATCAAAATAAACCCAATCACACAGCATCCATCATGCCACCTGGAAAAGCCCTATGCACATTCTGAAAATGCCACAAATCACAAAAGAAAGAAATACCTTTTCCTCTGGAACTTACTTGAAACATTCTCACCATAAACAAGAAAATTGTGGGTTATACAAGCCTGGCATTCAGCAGAGGAGGGAACTGCAAAACACACACCAGGCACTCTCTCCCACAACAGCAAGAAATGACATTGTCTAGAGCTCCGCACAGCCAGACTTCCCAGGCTTCCCAGTTGAAGCCAGGCTTCAACTCCAAGAGCAGAGTCCCCGGCACAGCAGGCAGGTCGCGCAGCACAGCGCTGCGGCTGCTCACGCTCTCGAGAGCCTCCCGCTCCGCACAGGCTGCGCCAGCACCTCTGTGCTCGCAGCACGGCGCCCAGCAGCGCTTCCCCGGTACCTGAGCCGTACTTGGGAGCGCAGATCCAGCTGGGAAGCAGTCAAGCGGCCGTGGGGCCGCTTTGTGCTACCGATGCTTATCTGGTGCCTGCTAGGGCTCCGAGCTTATGCAATGACAGCAAGACGGTGCGCGGTTGTGGTGGAGAAGATTGTCTCCACGGCCTAATCCAGCTTTGACAGAAGTCTGTGGGGGTGGGGGTGTCTCAGAACAAGGCTCTGACAAACTCCTAGGCGCTGACACTGATCAAATCTGGAACAAAATAAAGGATAGCCTAAAACGCTTCTTTTTTTTATGCAACCAGTAACCAGACGTGCTCATCTAGCAGTAACTAGGTGTTCTCCTGCGGCTGTTCCTCCAAAGAGGAGTCTCCCAGGCCTCTGATGAGGGGCTCTCAGGAGCGGCGCTCCCCACGCAGGAGTGGCGCTCCCCACGCAGGAGTCTCCTCCGCGCCGGGCTCGGCCCGTTACAGGCGCTGTGGGGCAGGTCGCTTATGGGTGGCGACACCAACTGCCACCAATGGCGACACCACGCTGCGGCCCAGCAGGCCGAGCGCGGCATTCAGAGCCCGTCGTGGCAACGCCACGCTCAGCCCACAGAGCTGAGCGGGGCACTTGGGGCCGGCATGTGCACTGCCCACTTGCTCCCACGGAGCCAAGGCTGCCACCCGCTCTGGCGCTCGCTCAGGGAAGCACCTCCACCTCAGAGCCCATCTGGATACTCCTGCCTCATGTATCATCCCATAAACACAAAGCAGCAGAGCAATTCATTTCTCATGTATGAGGTAAATGGGCCCTCTGCTTCCCTACCCAG